TTTACCAGGCATATTAGCAGGGATCTGGATAACAAGTGGAGCAGCTGGGACTAGAACCAGTGCCTATATGGGATGCCGATGTTGTACGTGGCAGCCAAACTCACTGTGCCACAATACCAGCCTCAACATGCTCTTTTTAACCTCAAGATTTGAGCACTTCATTAAGTACCTTGCAGACCACAGTCAAATACTTTTTCCCTAGTACCAAGACAAACCATTTCTAAAGATGGTTTTCTGAAACAATGGTCTTTAGCAATCCAGGAGACATTCTCTCCATTGTCTCTCTTTTTCTGCATGTGCTCAGTCTTGAGGTACTTTGGAGCAGTTTCACAGTAAACCTGGTATCAGCCCTGGTCCACAAAATGTGTAATGGCAATATGCAGATATAAGACTATAAGTTTTTGTTAACAGAAAAGAATTTTGAACAAGAAAGATTTCCTGCATTAATACTTATGCTACTTGACCTTTTATGACATAAATATGGCTCAGTGTGCAGACATTGCTGACCCTAGTCATTCAACAAATCATCTAATGACTGCAGTCCAGGTATGACTGGTAATCAGACACCACATGCATGATTGAAATGAAGCAGATGTGGTTCTTATCTTCACAGATCTTAGGGTCTCAAAGGAGGAATGAATATCAAATATACAAACACTTAAGTAAATACACAATTACTACATGTGGTAAATGTTAGAAAGAGCAGATTACTGGCTTTTCTAAGCCATCATAAAAAAGTGGACTTATTTTCTTTTGGAAGGCAGGTTGCAGGTATCAAGTTTAGTTATAAATACTAAGATAGCAATGTATGTGCTTATTAGGTGTAAGGTTTGTATTATTATCAAACATTTTGGAAAACAAGGCATTGACTCTTTGGGAAGCATGTTCTCTGATTTTTCAATGTTTAATATTTTATGAGACCACTATGCTTTGCTTCTTTTTCCCCCCAAGAAACCTTTTATTCAAAGAATACAAACTTCAGGCATTTCATAAGTACAACTTTAGGAATATAGTGATTCTTCCCACCACACCCATCCTCCCACCCATTCTCTTCCTGCCTCTTCCATTCCCAGTCCCATTCTCCACTAAGATCATTTTCAATTAACTTTTTACACTGAAGACCAACTCTATACTAAGTAAAGAGCTCAACAATTTGTACAAAAAGAAAAAATTGTTCCTCAACAGTTGAGGCAAGAGCTGTTCAAAGTCATTACATCTAGAATTTAATTTAACTTTTTCTTTAGAAACTTAATTAACTTTAAAGCAGTACCCAAGAATGATATAACTTTGGCCAGCACTTAGATATAACTATAACTTATGAGACATAAGAATATTCCCCATTTAATACATTAAAAGAGGTAAGTCCTTGAGAATAAGTTTTATCATTAATTAAGGAAGCACTTAAGAAAATAAGCAATGGAGTTGGACACATAGGCATAACTAAAATTTGAGAAATAAGAATATCACCCACTTAATACACTAAAACAAAAGAAATCTTTGAGAACAAGTTTCATTGTTAACTCTCATAATACAACTCTTGAGTACAGAGGTCCTGCATGGGAAATTAGTGCACAATGACTTCTGTTAATAATTCAACATTTAACCCTCTTATATATGATGTCAGTGATCAGGTGAGGCCCTTGACATGAGCAGCCTATGCTGATCTTTGTATATATTTTTTGGTTTTAATTGTGTTGATTTCTCTCTAATTTTAATGAATTCATTTATGTTAATCATTTCGAGTTTAGTTTGCTGCAGTTTTTCTAGATCCTTGAGATGCATTGATAGCTCATTTATTTGGTGCCTTTCCAATTTCTTGATGTAGATACCAATTGCTATAAACTTTCCTCTTAACACTTCTTTTGCTGTATTCCATAAGTTTTGATATGCTGTATTATCATGGTCATTTGTTTCCAGAAACTTTTATTTCTCTTTATTTCTTCAATAACAAGGCTCTGTGCAGTTCTCAGTATTATCACAGATTCCCCCAGTAATGTCCCTCACCATGTAACCAAGGAACCCTGAGCATGTGGAGCCTCCCACAGTGACTGCCCAAAGTCCCAGCCACACCCTGAGCCCTCCCAGATAGCCTCAGTGTTTCCATAGTCCTGGACCACAAGCCTCCCACAGTCAAGAGCACCCTGCCCGTGTCATTTCTCCCCACCAGAATCAGGAGTCTCTGATCGACTGGTTGCTAGGCACGGATACAAGCTGGCACAGCTATTACATATGTCCAAAATGGTGTCCACTCTCTTTTGGATTGTTACAGAATGTTATTGCAGGGTTACTGGGGAGAGAGAAATGTACTCCCTACCTTTTTTTCCTCCTCTAGTTTGGCAGGTACATTATGCCTCACAGGGATCCAAACCATACTCCCTCTAGACTCTTCCTACACCTTTATCGCCAGTGGCTCAGGGTCTGCAGTCTGGTTTTTCACTTCAAAGCTGTTACAGAGGCTCTTGGCTGCAGGGGTCCTGACTTGTGCGCATCCGCACCCTCCACACAGGTCCATAGTAACCCTCTAATTTGCGTGGATTTTCCTCGGCCATTTTCTCCCTAGCTCTTCCCTGAGACTGCACTCTTTCCACTTTTCTTTTTAAACTATCTTCTAGACTAGAGCATTAAGCTCTCTCCTTACTCTATCTTAATCCAATCCTTATGCTTTGCTTCTAACATGAGCAGCATGTAAATGTGTTTGAGCTATAATCACTCATTTTGTACTTCACTAACTCAGTAAGACATATTTAAAAACTCAGTATCTCATTCCATGCTGTCTTCAAGTCTCCTGCCTTCATTTTCTCCTGAGGAAAAACCCTGTTTCTGTTGGCCCTGCTACAGGGCAACTTGGGGCCTTGTTATGAGGATTTCCCTGCTGTAACCTGTGACACACCAGGAGCTTTCACTGCAGCCAACGTTCAAGAATTCCTGCACATCCTTTTCAACATGCACACTTGTTCACTCTAGAAAAAATGACTAGATTAAACGGAGATTCAACGCAGCACAACAAATTTGAAAGTGAAACACGAAGGTACTAAGAAGGAAGAGTATAATGGGCTTTAGAAAAGAGGGCCCTGGACCCATCTGAGAGAGTACATGAAGAAGTGATATTTAGTTTGAAATTTGAATTCTATAAGGAAAAGTTGTATTTACTGGGTAGCCCAATTTTTTAAAAAATTACAAATTAGCATAAATTGTCATTTTTAGATACTCATCTGAAGATTTAAAAAAAGCTTTCTCTTGCATCCCATTAAAGACCTATAGTAGTAATTCCATACAATAATTATTAACTATACAATAAAAGTTGACTGAACAATATTCTAAGGTCAAAGTTCCACTTACATATTATGTCCAGACAAGGGAAAAAGAACCCCAATAATATAAAACAACCTAAAACTTTTGAAAGCAGTGGCTTGATCACAAACATGAACTTTGTAACCAAACAAAATTCAAATCAAACACTGATCCCTCATAAACAACTTAATACTATTAAACAGAGCAATTACTTATAACGGGAACAAACTGCTATAAAAATCAATCCATTAAGGAGAATAAGCTTTCTCCTTTCCTTTCCTAAGGTAGAGACTGCAGGAGCAGGTGCTTGTGTGTTGGCACAGTCACTGTAGGGAGGGCACAAGGGGAGGCGGATACAGACGTGGGGTTTCAGAAAAGGAAAACAGGAGTTGGAGAGCCTTTATAGCAAAAAATAGTCATGAAGGGCTTTTCCTTTTGCCCTATAGAAATATTTTCCATTTCTTCACATATTCTTAACTCTGCAGAAAATACTTTAATGTGAAATTTAATTACATTAACAAATAATGCAATCCTAAAAAGCAACAGAATCTGTGAATAACTGCCCCCATTTAACTGCTTTACCTATAATACATCTGTCCTGAGAGTGGAACTCTCTCACATTTGCTTGAAGAGATTAAACTTGAAATAGAGACAAAAGAATTAGGAAGGGCCAGTGCTGTGGCTCACTTGGCTAATCCTCCACCTGCGGCGCTGGCACCCCGGGTTCTAGTCCCAGTTGGGGCACCAGATTCTGTCCCAGTTGCTCCTCTTCCAGTCCAGCTCTCTGCTGTGGCCCAGGAGGCCAGTGGAGGATGGCCCAAGTGCTTGGGCCCTGCACCCACATGGGAGACCAGGAGGAAGCACCTGGCTCCTGGCTTCGGATCGGCACAGCGCCAGCCATATTGGTCATTTAGGGGGTGAACCAACAGAAGGAAGGCCTTTCTCTCTGTCTCTCTCTGTCTCTCTCTCACACTGTCTAACTCTGCCTGTCCAAAAAAAAAAAAGAAAAAAGAAAAAAAAAAAGAAAAAAAAAAAAGAAAGAATCTGGAAGGATTTTTTTAAACGTAGTGCTACCAGTGTAATCAAGATATTTGCCATGTGTCCCTATCTTTCATTCATTATTGTCCACCTACCAAAAAAAGTCTTTCTGGCCATGAAAATTACAAGAGTACATACATATCTCTGTATGTTTTCTTGAGTATTTGTGGAAGCTTGCTCTCATAAGGTCTGAGTTCACACACTTGCTAAAAGTTTTTTAATTATTATTTCATCTATTCATTTAGGAGCATAGTGATACTTCCCACCCACACTCCTACCCTCCTTCCTTTCGTATTCTTTTAATTTTTACAATGACATATTTTCAATTTATTTTATAATCAGAAGACTAACCCTTCACAGTAAAGAATTCAACAACTAGAAAGAACAAAAAAACACTGTTCTTCAACAGCAGAGACAAGGGCTGTAGGTCCAGCTTCCTGCTAATGTACCTGGGAAAGCAGCAGAAGATGGTCCAAGTCCTTGGGCCCCTGCCACCCACATGAGAGACCCAGAAGATACTCCTGGCTCCTGGATTTGGACCTGCTCAGCTTTAGCAGTTGCAGCCATTTGGGGAGTGAATTAGCAGATGGAAGATCTCTTTCTCTCTTACTGTAACTCTGCCTTTCAAATAACTATATAAATCTATTTTTAAAAAGGGAAAGAAAGCCGCCGCCGCCGCCGCCGCCGCCGCCGCTTTGTTGTCGCCTCCTCCGGCTGAGGAGGCTCCCCGAGCGGGGGGAGTGGGGAGGAGGGGGGTCGGCCGCCGCAGCCATGGAGGCCAACTGGACCGCGTTCCTGTTCCAGGCCCATGAAGCCTCCCATCACCAACAGCAGGCAGCACAGAACAGCTTGCTGCCTCTCCTGAGCTCTGCTGTGGAGCCCCCTGATCAGAAACCATTGCTTCCAATACCAATAACTCAGAAACCTCAGGCTGCACCAGAAACATTAAAAGATGCCATTGGGATTAAAAAAGAAAAACCCAAAACTTCATTTGTGTGCACTTACTGCAGTAAAGCTTTCAGGGACAGCTATCACCTGCGGCGCCACGAGTCCTGCCACAAGTTGGACCTGCTTGGATCAAGTTGGTGTCCCGGCCAAAGAAAACCCCCACCACGGTGGTTCCCCTGATCTCCACCATCGCTGGGGACAGCAGCCGAACTTCGCTGGTCTCAACCATTGCAGGCATCTTATCGACAGTCACTACATCTTCCTCGGGCACCAACCCCAGTAGCAGTGCCAGCACCACAGCTATGCCTGTGACCCAGTCTGTCAAGAAACCCAGTAAGCCCGTCAAGAAGAACCATGCTTGTGAGATGTGTGGAAAGGCCTTGCGAGATGTGTACCACCTCAATCGGCACAAGCTCTCCCACTCGGACGAAAAGCCCTTTGAGTGTCCTACATGTAATCAGCGCTTCAAGAGGAAGGATCGGATGACTTACCATGTGAGGTCTCACGAAGGAGGCATCACCAAACCCTACACTTGCAGTGTTTGTGGGAAAGGCTTCTCAAGGCCTGACCACTTAAGCTGTCACGTAAAACATGTCCATTCAACAGAAAGACCCTTCAAATGCCAAACGTGCACTGCTGCCTTTGCCACCAAAGACAGACTGCGGACACACATGGTGCACCATGAAGGCAAGGTATCATGTAACATCTGTGGGAAGCTCCTGAGTGCAGCATACATCACCAGCCACTTAAAGACACATGGGCAGAGCCAAAGTATCAACTGCAATACATGCAAACAAGGCATCAGTAAAGCATGCATGAGTGAAGAGACCAGCAGCCAGAAGCAGCAGCAGCAGCAGCAGCAACAGCAGCAGCAGCAACAGCAGCAACATGTGACGAGCTGGCCAGGGAAGCAGGTGGAGACACTGAGGCTGTGGGAAGAAGCTGTCAAAGCAAGGAAAAAAGAACCTGCTAACCTGTGCCAAACCTCCACGGCTGCTACGACACCTGTGACCCTCACTACTCCATTCAATATAACATCCTCTGTGTCATCTGGGACTATGTCAAACCCAGTCACAGTAGCAGCTGCAATGAGCATGAGAAGTCCAGTAAATGTTTCAAGTGCAGTTAACATAACCAGCCCAATGAACATCGGGCATCCTGTAACTATAACCAGTCCATTATCCATGACCTCTCCTTTAACGCTCACCACCCCAGTCAACCTCCCCACCCCCGTCACTGCCCCAGTGAATATAGCACATCCTGTCACAATCACATCTCCAATGAACCTGCCCACACCCATGACCTTAGCCGCCCCTCTCAATATAGCAATGAGGCCTGTAGAGAGCATGCCTTTCTTGCCCCAAGCTTTGCCTACATCACCGCTTTGGTAAACAGTATTATAAAGTCAAAATATGGGTTAAAGTAAATATTTACCAGCAACCTGCTCTTAGTTGATTAAAGCAAAAAGTAAACCATGAAATTGGAAGGTTTTATTCCATTAGTTAATAAGAGTGTAGTAGCATTATTTTCCAATTTGGCTGGGATTGTTCAAAGTAGGGTGTATATGTAACTTATCACTGGACCACTTTAGTTTCATCAGAAATTCCTTTTAGCTGACAGCATTGCTTAAACAGATAATTAGTTGGCAAGACGAAATGCCAGAATTAAAACCAGTCATAAAAAGGCAAAACCCACTTTAAAATAAAACAGCATTACTGTTTCTAATCCCAAGAAATCATTTTATTCTAAACACTAGCAGAGCTCTTCTCCCTATACAAAGTGGATGGCTGATTTTAACCTGAAATTCTAAATCCACAGATCGAGAGCTAGTGTAGAATTGTCTTTGTCTATTGTTTTTATAAGTAAATACATGCATTGTCATAATAAAATGCATTTCAGAGAATATGCATTTTACCTTTGGGAATATGTTAATTTCAGGCAGCATTCCCTATGGTAAAGGTGATACCAGCTCTGATATGCAAAGCATATGATAATTTATCATTCTAACTTCAACATATAATAGGGATTGTGACCTGATATTTGGAGATGTAAATATTACTCAGCATATTAATCCTGATGGAATATAGCACTGTAGTTGACTTTTTAAAAAATTTTAAAAAACAAAAAATAAAATATACAAATTGTGTTTTGGTAAAAAAAAAAAAAGAAAAAGAAAAAGAAAAAATAAAGCCGCAGCTGACAAAGGAGAAGTCAAGTTTGCAGACAGGCAGGCTCCTAAAAATTGGAGGCCAGTGAGATTCCTGTTGAGGAGCCAAGGAGTACTTTGGAACAGTTCAAATATACTGCTTTAAATTGGAAGACGCTGGAGGCACTGGGATGTGATGCCCCTCTCTCTCCCAATCAGAACCTGTTGTTACAACAGGAACAGAGGTGTTAGTTGCTCTTTAGAGTTGATGTCTTATATTAAATTGTATACAGTTTTTATTCTAACCACTGACTAGGTAGTATGCCCCTTCAGAACAAGCAGAGTGTATCGTTTTTTTAAAAAATTCTCCTTCCATTTATTAATCACGTATTGTGCAGATTGGTTCAACTTTGTAAATATGGACATCACTTTTTTTTTTCTTTGAGAAAACACTTGTATCAGCTTTGTGGTGTTTTCAGGGAGACAGCTGTCTGCACTCCCTGTAGAAACCCAGCAATGATTGTGCATGTTGAGACATGTGCTTTTTATTTCTTAGCAGGATGTTTTATCTCTGTACATAAAGTAGAAACCAAAAGCTAGGGAAACAGATACTCTACACCATCATGCCACACTTAATATTTTTTTAAAGCATTGTGCTTGGGAAAAAAAAGTTAACTAAAACCAAGATGCTATGATTTTTTTTAAGTTGCAATATATTTTTGGTTTTTATTCATCTTTTAATCTTGCAGTTAAGAGAAATGGAAATTAGTTGTGTTAATCTTGCAGAATGTTTGCAGGACTATCAAACTGGATGACTTCCGTTTATACCCCGCTGTGTCAGTTCAAGCATCAAAATACCTTGCATCTGAGACAGACTTTCTACATCAGGGACAGGTATCTGTGTGTCATTATACAAAACAGTTCTAGGGGGTTGAACTACATAGTAAATAAATAAATAAATAGTACTTAGTGTAAAATAATTTTATAAATGATCTTTTGTACTTTAGGACATTAAATTGTACAACTTTTGTATATATAAAAGCTTAGGAACTTTCTGTTTAGCAGGAAGGCAACACATTCCTACACTTTTAATGTATATGTTTGTTATAATGTCCATGTAAACATGCCCTATGTTTGTGCCTTTTAATTAGTTTGTCTCTATAAACAAAATGTAGAGAAAAATAAAAAAAAAGGGAAAGAAAAATGAAAGCCTCATATCATCACACTGGTCAGCTGTCTTCCAGAGCAACTGTCACCTCTGAGACGTCCTTAGGCTGTGCTTTCCCTTTTCCTGCAGTTTCTAAAAAAAATACTGTCTGGCCCCTAGTTCACAGCTGACTCTGCTGCTGATGTTGGAGATATGGTGGAGATTATTGTGCAATGAAACATGAACAAAAAAGCATCATTAAATTTAATGTTTGACTCTGTTGCCCTGGAATCTCTGACCACTCACACTCATGATATTTCTTATTGGCTATCCCTCTTTGCATGCCTATCTCATTCAAGCCTATTATCATTCTTCTCCACACTCTTCTTCAAGTCCTCAATCTTCTGTTGCATTCACCTGTACACAAAAGTCCCAATATTTCCATTTTATAATAATGTAATTCGTTTTGTCCACACCTCTTCCATCTGATTATTTACCCAGAAGCCTTGTTCAACATTGCTTCACATGACCAGTAAGGGGTTTTTTCTACACCAGCATGAACCTCTCATTTTTCCTTGGCCAAGTGCCACAAATTATTGACAAATTCTAAAATAGCACTATTTTTTTCTGCCTGCCTAAATGGATTCTATGCATGCACTAAGGAAGCTGCACCAGAGACAACAAGTTGTAATTCCTCATCAAGGAGTCAGTTATAGCTAAGTGCCATTATAAAGTGAAAGCATTCCAAGAAAACTATCTTTCTGCTGTAGGTGATTCATAAAAACATTCTGGCTTCTTAGAAACATGAAAGAGCATCAAGTTCTGGAACATAAGATAAGGATTAGTAGTAGCATAATCATTTCAAACATGTCTGTGTTGTAGAAACTCTGTCTTTCAAACAAATAAAACCTTGGATGATTTGAGAATAAGCTGACAATATAATGCCCCACCACCCCTATATTTTTTTTCAACGATTTATTTATTTTATTTGAAAGTCAGAGCTACACAGAGAGAGGAGGCAGAGAGAGAGGTCTTCCATGCGCTGGTTCACTCTCCAGTTAGCCACAACAGCTAGAGCTACGCCGATCCAAAGCCAGGAGCTTTTTCTGAGTCTTCCATGTGGGTGCAGGGTCCCAAGGACTTGAGCCATCTTCTAATGCTTTCCCACGCCGTAGCAGACAGTTTGATTGGAAGTAGAGCAGCCAGGTCTCTAACTGGCACCCATATGAGATGCCAGTTTTACCTGCCACACCATAGCACCGGCCCCATCCCCCAAATTGTTTTATATATATTTTACACAAAGATATTCTCATAGCACAAACATAAATATCAGGAAATTAATATTTATATTTTACCACCATGTAATTCTTGGACCCTGTTCAAGTACTCTAACTGTCTCAATAATGTTCGTAGAGCAAAAAAGTCCAATACAGAATACAAACAGTGATAGGTAACCATGTCTCACCTTTTTGACCTAGAATAGCTCTTCAGTTTATCCTTGACTTTCATGGCCTTAATATTTTGCAACTTTCATATAACCTAAAAATATTTACAAAAGAAAAGGCTTAAAATTAAAACAATGGTATTGATATAAATATTGTGACTCCCAGCAAAATGTCCAAAAGAGTTCTACTCTGAAGACTGATTATAGGAAAAACAGTTATTCACACAATCTTAGTGTTTTATAGAATCATTGAAAACTCTGTAAAAACCTACAAAAAGTGTATTAGATGATTTCAAAGTACAACAACTTCAGCTCCTCCTCCTTTTGTCAAGTTGCCTAGAAAGAGATGCCATTTATTCCTGGTCCTTGACCCAGTCCACTGGCCTCACCCTGAAGACCTCAAAACCTAGAGACTTTTACTTTTGAAAAAGTGCCCTTATACTATCAAGTGACCCAAAATATGGGCCTTAGGAGTTCCTAAAGGTGTGGAAAGAGAGAATGAATTAGAAGGCCTAATTGGTGAAATAATTACAGAAAACTTTTTAATTTGGAGAAAGAAAGGGACACCCAAGTACACAAGGCACATGGAAATCTTTATAGATATAAACAGAAAAGACCTTTACCATAGCACATTGTAGTAAGACTTTGAACAGTAAAACATAAAGAAAATATTCTAAAATGTGCACAAGAGAAAACCAGATTTCGCTCAGAGGATGTCCAGTTAGATGCACAGCTGACTTCTCATCACAAAGTCTACAGGCTACAAGAGAATGGAGAGACATAGTCCACATCTTTTTTTTTAAAAGATTTATTTATTTATTTGAAAGGCAGAGTTTCAAAGGCAGAGACAGAGAGAGAGAGGTCCTCCATCTAATGATTCACTACAGCTGGAGCTAAGCCAATCCAAAGCCAGGAGCCAGGAACCTCCTCTGAGTCTCTCACACAGGTGCAGGGGCTCAAGGACTTGGGCCATCTTCCACTGCCTGCCCAGGCCACAGCAGAGAGCAGAACTGGAAGTGGAGTAGCCAGGACTCAAACCCGTGCCCACAGGGGATGCTGGCACTACAGGTGGAGACCCAACCCACTAAGCCACAGTGCTGGCCCCATAGTCCAAGTCTTAAGAGAAAAAACTGTCAACCCAAAATACTGTACCCTGAAAAGTTCTCATTTATGAATGAAGGTGAAATAAAGACCTTCCAAAGCAGAAATTCAAAGAATTTCTCACCACTTGTCCAGCCTTGCAAAATATGCTTAAGGATGTTCAACACACAGAAACACAGAAAGATAGTTATCATTATGAAAGAAAGTGGATATGTGGAAACTCCCTCAGACTTGGAGGGAAAACTGCAGTGGAGATTCCGCAGAGGGAGATACACCGTGGATCTGTGTGGAAGGTGCAGACACACAACAACATGCAGAAACACAACACATGACCCCAGCATCCCTGAGCCACAGAAAGCATCAGCTTTGGAAGCTGGGTGAGATCAAACTGTAGCGGCCCATGCCACTGTGATATAGGCGGAAGGAGAGCCTAGTGGACTACATTGTGTTTGAGTTCAGCCCACAGCCCTGATGGAAACAGGGTGCCTGCTCAACCAGAGAAAAATTGGGGTATGTTTCTCTCTCTCCACCCCCCTGGCAATGGCACCTGGCAACAGGTTGAAAGACGACGGGTGGGGCCAGCGCTGTGGCGTAGCGGGTAAAGCTGCCACTTGCAGCGCTGACATCCCATATGGGTGCCAGTTCTAATCTCGGCTGCTCCACTTCGAATCCAGATCTCTGCTATGGCCTAGGAAAGCAGTAGAAGATTGCTCAAGTCCTTGGGCCCTTGCACCCATGTGGGAGACTCAGAGGAAGCTCCTGGATTCAGCTCAGCTCAGCAATGGCCATTGAGGCCAACTGAGGAGTGAATAAGTGGATGGAAGACCTCTTTCTCTCTCTGCCTCTCCTTCTCTGTGTAACTCTGATTTTCAAATAAATAAATCCATCTTTAAAAAAAAGAGGGCAGTGCCATTTTTGACTAAAGTAAGTAGCAGCTGCAGCAGCTGTTGTGCCTGCACCCAGCAACGGGGAGGGACAGACACCATCTTGCCAACAGAGGCAACACGGAGCTTGGGTGTGTACACCCAGCAATGCATGGGGAGAAGGAGTCATTCCAACCTTAGTGCCAGCTGCAGAGATTCTTGTATGCGCCCAGTAACCAACAGGAAGATGTTACTGTGAAAGGAGTAGGACTATGGCTGACAGCTACTGTGCATATGTGATCCAGGGATTTTAACAGAGAGAAAAATCTGCATTACCCACTGATATTTGAATCTAGCTTGGAGGATTGACATGGGGCTGGGCACCCACACACAATTGTGAAAACTGTGAGGTACCCCACCTTCTCAATCTATCATAGGCACTGAAGCTCAAACCACATAGGTGGAGCACCCACAGGCATCTGGCTCTGGGAACGTCTCAGCCTCACTGTGGATGGGACAGGTTACTAGGGCAGATTAGATTCCCTGTACGCTGTGACTGTGGGAATCCTGTGTGCTGACACTGTTGAGACTCTGTGACTGCATGAGATGGTGAAGGGTGTGGCTGAGTCTCCTGGCAATCACTGTGTGCAGCTCCACATTCTCAGATCTCCCTGGTTGCCTGGGCTGGGTCACTGCAGCACAATCTATGCTTAAACTGAGGACTGCACAGATCCTTTGTGCAGTTCATGCAGAAATGTGGATGACTGTTTCACCCACTGAGGGCTAACCACAGGCCTTGATCACCTTGGAAGAAAGGAGGTGAGGATGTGATTACAGAGGTAACCATACCCACCCCTTCAGTTAATAAGAGTAGACATACCACGCCCAACATGGGTGTCCCCCTGGACATTGGCCCCATTGCGTACCACTGACCAGAGCTCCCTGGCCATAACTAGCACAGAACTCTGGGTATTCACTGAAAGAACAGGCATCCACTAAGCCATAGTTCAAAGGTAAAGGCTATCAGAGACATAGTTCAAAGATAAAAGCTATCATAGGAAAAAACCAATACATATCTCCACAAATGCCTAAAAATGGACCTAACTAGTATCTATAGGACCTTTCAACCCACAGTTTCAGAATACACATTCTTTTCACCAGTGCATGGAACATTCTCTAGAAGATACCATATGATATGCTGCTATAAAGCAAGTCTCAGCAAATTCAACAAAAGGAATTCATAAATGTATCTTTTCTGACCACAGTGGAATGAAGCTGATACTTAACAACTAAAGAAACTCAAGAACATATGTAACATATGGTGACTGAACAATATATTCCTGAATGAACAGTCATAGAAGAAATTAAAAGAGAAATCAAGAAATTCCTGGAAATGAATTAAGA